TTTACCTTCTTTCATTTCCCAGATTCTGGAGTTTATCTATTGACCGGTTTTGATTTTTATTTTGATCTATTTTGAATTACGTGACACTGAAAACCAGCAGTTCTTATACAGCTTGTAGGATAAGCCATTCATGCCAGGAGCACTCTTGGTACGGGCTTTCCGCACGAACTCACGAACTTCTTTCGCTTTGAGGTTGGACATATCAAAGGCTACACCTGGTGGGGCTGGCCTCGTAATGTCGTGCATGTGAGGCAGCGGCACATCTCGAATGAATCACAAATGGACTACCCTAAATGTAAACCCGGCCCTAAAATTTCTAACCCAAAAGTTTAAGAATCAGTTTGTCTTCTCATGTTCCAATCTTCTAGGAACAATTTTTAAACGTCATCATTTCTGCATGCATTGCGTGCCGTTTTATTATGACTACGAGGATCAATAGTTGCTAATGCCATAATTTATAGACTCGTACTTAGTCCTTTTCGGCTCGAAATCAGGCAATAAAGCCGATGTATTAGTATGAGCCTGCACAGCAAACACAATTTACCAGCGGGTTTTCAGTTAGCCATGCGTACCGAGTAAGGGTGACGTCATGCCGTTCTTTGATTGGCCGATTTGAACCAACACCATCAAGGCGGTTTTATTCAAGAACTCTTGGACGGACATTTTGATTTGCGAGTTCTTTATTCGGAAACTTTTTGCCCATCTTCTATGCTGCAGAACATCTGTATCAGACAGAAATGCGACCAGTGTAAGTACCAAGTGTAGTTGTGTAGGCTAGAGTCATTTTTGTGAGGGAAATTGACATTTTGTCTCCGTTTAGCCCGAAAACCCCTGCTTCGGCAAAAACCCCGCGTAGTGGAAAGACACCAAGAAGACCTACAGGCAACAAGGATCCAGTTGAGGTAAAGAAGCGTCATTTTTGATTCACTGATCGTCGATTAAAATTTTTCCTAATAATAACATACGAGGTCCTCATGCAAGCGTTAGAACTTGTATCGATAAGAGTTGTGATGCTTGCATCAAAGAAAATTGCCAAGTTGTAAGCTCATTTCTTAGGAAGTCAATTTTACGGTAACTTTTAAGCCAGAAGTGAGAGTTGTTCATTGAAACTAGGAAGAGAACTGTATCTTGTATCACTTTGAAACTCCTGTTGAAACTTCTTCTTTGACCATAACCCTATGTGGGTATAGGGCCAGCCTGTTGAAACTAGAATTTCGAAATAGAATGATGTATTGTAGAATGTGTAATTAATAAGTTATCTCGAAGCTCTTCGTTTGCACTTGATCGTCCGATCCTTCGGTCGGGAATCGTCTTTGATCTGCCAGGTTTGTCCCACTGAGCTTAGCTTAGTCTACGGTATTTTGAAGTGCTGCAATTGGTAAGGAGTTTTCCAAATACTGCCAATGTGAATTCGAACCCACAAGGTTAATCACTGTTAATTCTTCTAGGTTTATTGTCGAATACGGCCTCTTGGTGACAATGAAGAAGAATCTTGTGTCCAAATAATCAGTGAAACAGTATTGCAGCTCACCGCTCCAAAAGTAAGCTCAAGCTTTATAGTATACGTAGAATCCTTTTCTGTTTTTGTACTTGTTGTTAAAGGACGTGGAACTAGTGAAAGAATCACCTTTTCGTGCGTAGAGACACTAACTGGGCAATCACAAGGTTTATGGTTTGAAGATCTCTGTCTCTATACAAAATGTTACTTGCATGGTGCTAATGATGAAGCACTGGACGAATCCACTTATATCCAGGGTTCTGTTCATGTGGTGCAATACATGTATCTACTAATTGTTACTTCTGTGCAGAACATCGCGAGTACATGCAGTTTTTT